ATTAATTAAAATCAAGTATAATTAAAAATCCAGTTCTCAGTTGCACTAGCCACGTTTCAAGTGGTCTAGTATCACTAAACTGGGCAGCACAGATAGAGAAACTTGTCACCTCTGCAGAAAGTTCTGCTGGACCGCGACGGTGTAGAGGAATGGGTAGACCTTGTATAAACACTCCTTTTATTCTCTGGTGAAAATGCAATTGAGTCAGCCTTTAATGTGTCTTCAGTTCTGATTCTGTGCTACTGAGTCAGGGTTCTGGAGAATCCCTTGTATTACTTTGAGGAAGAGCAGTGAAACCTAAAAGTGGCACAGCCATCCCAGAACTCAAAACCCAAGATCTAGGAGACTTTACGTTTCATGAAGGTAAGGTCTAAGTCTACTTTGTTTTCCAATGTAACCCCAGGGCCTCGCACATAGTAGACGCTCAGTAAACACTTCTGTGACTGAATAAATGAAAGAGTTCAGCAAAAACCAATTAAAGGGGCATTTTGAAGGTTCTCTAGGAATTATGAGAAGGAGCGAGTAAGTGTCATTGGAAATGTCTTCTATATAGAAGTCAGAACAAAGAATAGAGCAAACAGCACTTGCTGAGTGGTTCCTCCTTTTTCTTCTCTTTCTTCTTCTCCTCCTCGCTCCCTTCCTCACCCTCCATCATCATTATTGTTATCAAATAGGTAACCTTTTTGGGCATTTATTACATGCAAGCCACTATTCAAGTGCTTTTAATAGATTTTTAAATTTAATCCCCTCAATAATGTTATGAAGTAGGTATTATTGTTATTCCTACATCCGAGTTGAGGAACCTGGAGTACGGAGGATAAATAACAAAGTCTCAAAGCTGATAAAGGATGCAACACAGATAGAAATCTAGCCTGTGTGACTCCAGAGCTTGCATTTTTAACCATCTTCTTAAGTACTGCATCTTCTGAAGAGGTACTGCGTTGGGGTTTGAAGTTAATTACAAAAAGAAGTAACTGCTGATTGAGGTGGAGCATTGGGGGTAATGATGGCCAAGTGGGGAAGACAGGGGACAGTCTTTGTTGCCACTGGCTTCTGTTATTCTTTGCTATACTTGTCAACTCTAGTGCCTTCAAAGTTCCTGCTACCCCAGCCATATCCTCTCTTCATGCCCTCATTGCATTTCCCCCAGTTTTCTCTGGGGAGGGAAACTTCTGGTGAGTAGAGGGATTCATCTCGGGCTGTGGCAGTGTTCAGTTGCACTAGCCACAGGAGTTACAGGGTGGCTGTAGCAACTGAAGAACAAAATTCTTGTTATTGAAAGTTGGATAGCTTTCTCTAGTCACTTTTCTTTTTTAAATTGTGGTAAGAACACTTAACACTAGATTGACTCTCTTAACAGATTTTTAAATTGTATAGCACAGTGTTGTTATCTGTAGCACAATGTTATACTGCAGATCTCTAGAATTTACTTATTTGCGTAACTGAAATTTTATACACATTGATTAGCAACTCACTATTTCCCCTACCCCAGAACCTGGCAACCACAATTCTGTTATTTGCTTGTTTGACTATTTTAGCTACCTCATATAAGTGGAATCATGCCGTATTTGTCCTTCTGAGACTGGCTTATTTCACTTAGCGTAATGTGCTTAAGGTTCATCCATGTTGTCACATAATGCAGGATTTCCTTCTTTTTAAGGTGGAATAATATTCCATTATGTATACATATACCACATTTTCTTTATCCATTCATCTGTCAATGTTCACTTAGGTTGTTTCCACGTTTTGGCTATTGTGCATAGTGCTGCAGTGGACGTGGGAGTGCGTATATCTCTTCAAGATCCTGATTTCGGGTCTTTTGGATAAATACTCAGAAGTGGGATTGCTGGATCACATGGTAGTTCTGTTTTTAACTTTTTAAGGAATCTCCACACTGTTTTCCATAGTGGCTGTACCATTTTGCATTCCCATTAACAGTGTACAAGGGTTCCAGTTTTTCCACATTCTCACCAACACTTGTTTTTTGTTTTTTGATAATAGCCGTTATCAAAATGTTACCACTGTAAAAAATACCACAGACTGGGTAGCTTGTAAACAACAAACATTTATTTCTTAAGTTCTGGAGACTGGAGGTCCCAGATGAGCATGGTCAGGTGAGGTCTGTCTTCCGGGTCACAGACTTCTCGCATCCTCCTGTGGTGGAAGGGGCTAGGGAGCACTGTGGGGTCCCTTTTATAAGAGCACTAGTTCCATTCATGAGCACCCCACTCTCATGACATAAGCACCTCCCAGAGGTCCCACCTCCTAATACTATTACATCGGGCATTAGGATTTCAATATATGAATTTTGAGGGAATACAAACATTCAAACCATAGCACCATCCTTATAGGTGTGAGGTGATATCGTACTGTATATTTGATTAGCATTTCTGTCATGATTAGTGATGTTGAGCATCGTTTTGTATACCTGTTGGCCATTTGTATGTCTTCTTTGCAGAAATATCTGTTCAAGTCTCTAGCCCATTTATAAACGGGTTATTAACTCTCTTTTGCTATTGAGTTGTAGGAGTTCCTTATATATTTTTGAAATTAACCCCTTATCAGCTATATGATTTGCAAATTCTCTCATTCTGAGGGTTGCCTTTTCGCTCTGTTGATTGTTTCCTTTCTTGTGCAGAAGCTTTTTAGTTAGCTGTAGTCCCACTTGTCTATTTTTGCTTTTGTTGCTTTGGTTTTTAATAAGAATAAAAGTTATATAGCTTCTATATTTATGGTTCTGTTTACTTTCTTCCAATAGCATGTAAATTTGTTTTCTCTCTCTTTTTTTAGGCACAACAGAAATTACTCTATTTTACTTATTTTTTAAATTTTACTGATGTAATTTTCCTTTCTACTGGATTTTGTGTTGTTTGTGTTTTAAACATTAATTTTTGCTTATAGCTTTTTTTTTTTTGGGGGGGGAGGAAAGTTGGCCTTGAGCTAACATCTGTTGCCAGTCTTCCTCGTTTTGCTTGAGGACGATTGTCCCCGAGCTAACAGCTGTGCCAGTCTTCCTTTATTTTGGATGTAGAATGCTGCCACAGCATGGCTTGATGAGTGGTGTGTAGGTCCATGCCGAGGATCTGAACCCGTGAATCCCGGGCAGCTGAAGAGGCGTGCGTGAACTTATACACTACGCCACTGGGCCGGCCCCTAGGTTTTAAAATTCCCTATGCCTACTTTCTTTTGGCTGATTTTTGTATTTTCTTTAGATTTGAAAATATAAAAGAAATGACAAAAAAGTCAACAGCTTTTTAAAATAGTAGCAATAACAAGTTAGAGATAGTATTGGAAAAATATTCCTTTCGTAATTATATACCCGGCAATGGATTTACTGAGAAAGGTGCAACTCCTATGTAAAGAAAGATGTACAACTTTATTGATAGAAGTTGAGTAAATGGAAATTGAATTCACAGACTTACAATTATGAATGTAGCAATTCTTCCAAAATTAATATACACTTTTAATGAAATTCCAACCAGTCATGTTTTTGAAATGAAAGAAATTATTTTTGATCTTTAATCTACTGTCCAGTGAATTATTGCCTATCTTTAAACCAGAATTTGGATAGTCAGGGCAAGGCAGAATGGAAGAGGTAAGCACCTAAAAATTGATTAAATGACGTGGAGTAGCGGAGTAGTTAAGCAATGTGGCTGTGGTGCTAGGTCGTGGGTGTTCAGTCCAGCACTGCTATTTGTAAGCTGTGTATTTAGACTCCCAACACCCTTGGTTTCCTTATCTGTAAAAAGTAGATGAAAATCGTTCTTACCTCCTAGGATGTGTGTGTGTTTGTGTGTGCGTGTGTGTGTGTGCAAGTTCAGCCTTCAGTACACGCAGGCCATTATTATTGCCACTAACCCTCAGATCCTAATAAGATGATGTACTTTGGACATGATTAGCCTGTGTTTACCAATGTCGTAATGATAATGCCTATCTGTATATCATGAGTTTAAAGAAGGACAAGATGAGATAAAGGTTGATAAACATTTAAATACTGCCATGTGTGTTAGGTTAGTGTGTTCAGGTGTGACACCAGAAATGTTGAGTTACCATTTTGCTTTCAAGAATACTGGTTTATTTTAGAAGAGATCTGATTCTTTTTGTGACTCCTGTTTGTTAATTTTCATGACTACCCTTATTTCTCTATTGGATATGTCTTTTCCTATCCTGGGTGTTATGGGGACAAGATATGTATAGATTGGAGGAGTAAGTGTGAAGACAGGAAGGTGGTTGGTGAGTGATGAAAAGAGAGTAATAGATATATGAAGAAAATGACAGTATTTCCTACCCCGAAGTTGAGCTATGTGTTGAGTGTATCTATGTAGATAGAGCTGTCCAGGTTTTTGTTTGTTTGTTTTGGTTTCATGCAATTTCATGGGGAATTTTTCTGATTGTTTTTTATTATTTAATTACCTTCTCAGAAAAGAAATTCTTTTTCTGGTTTGGGATACAGTTATTTATCTTTTTCTGAGCTGTTAAGCAGTTAGAAAATCTTTTTAAATAGAAACTTTTGATACATATGATGATTTTTATCAGTAAACTTGAAAACAGCTGTTTATTTTGTTCACAAAGAAATATTTCAATAAGAATGTTTTTGACAAGATATCTCAAACCAGCCAAATACAGAATAGTAAATAGCTTTAAAAGAATCATGAACTTGTTAGAAACAATGGGAAGGTTTAATATAAAATTTTATGTTGGTGTTTTGGGATTGTAGATATTGCTTACTTGAGGGACACACGAAATTAAAGGTGATTAGTTAGTGTTTAGTAACTGTGTTTATTACTTCATTGAAGCCAGGTGGTTTATATTTTATTTAGCAAAACATTTCAACTTTTTTTTTTTTGCTGAGGAAGATTGGCCCTAAGCTAATATCTGTGCCAGTCTTCCTCTTTTTGCTTGAGGAAGATCCGCCCTCAGCTAACATCTATGCCAATCTTCCTCTGTTTTGTATGTGGGATGCTGCCACAGCATGGCTGCCAATGAATGGTGTAGGTCTGTGTCTGGGAACTGAACCCAGGCTGCCGAAGTGGAGGGCACTGAACTTAACTACTAGGCCATGGGGCTGGCCCTCAACACTTTTGTTACTTTGGAATGCTTGTAGAATATTTATTTAAATTAACATTAAAGAGTCCCTAAGGGAAGGGACAGGTGAAATACTAATACAAACTAATAAAATGTATTATAAAATCAGAAATGTCTGGTCTTTGTTGGGGGCAGTGTGTATCTGTTTAGTTATCTGCTTGAACTTGTATGAGATTTTGTCCCTCATTTTACTACTCTCTTCTCTTGATTGTGGAAAAAACATTGTGTAAAGGCCTTATCTTAGTCCCCGGAGAAATAAATAAATGAGTAGCAGAAGATGGGTGAGATGGAGTGGGAGGTAAAATTAGAGTAGGTGTGGTCAGTAAAAATCTTGAAAGTACTTCAGTGAGAGAGCTATAAACAAAATATAGTAGTACATATCCTATAAGAATCCCTAAAATTTCTTATGATTTATTCATAAATACATTAAAAATATAGAACTGTGCATAATTATTTAATGTATATTTAAAATTTAAATGTTGAATTTAAAATTGAGGAGAGCAATACCCTTTCTTGTAATCTGAATAGTCCTGGAGCATTATAGGGTTATGTCAGTAAGTCCTATAATATTCTACCCTCTTCCTGCATCTAACATTGGATTCCGTATACTTTAGCAGATCATTTTGGGGTCATGCAGTTTAGCATTTGTAGTGACTCTTAGACCTGAGGCCATGTGGTGGCCTCCAAAATTATGCTATGTGCTTGGGTGGGTGGATGCTCAAATTGGTTGGAGTGAGCCAATAATAAGTAAAAGCATGCATTTCTAAAGAGTTTTATTATTTTAAAAGCCAATCTCTCTTGCTCCCTCTTTTTCTCCCCCACTCTTGGTTTTGGAGGTTCCAGATAGTCCTTCTACCCTCAAAAGTTGGTCCACAGGCCAGCAGCATGCTATACACTGGGAGATTAGGAGTTCTTCGGGCTCACAGGTCCCACTCCAAACCTGCTGAATTGGAATCTGCAGTTTAACAGGATCTTCAAGTGATTCACAAGCACATCCAAGTTTGAAGAGCCTGCCTTATGGGATAGGCTGAGACTAGACTGATACTATTGTCTATACGCCTGGAAGGACTGGTTAATTTTCCAAACCCACTTGGGTTCCATATCTCTGTAAAAGATCCCAGGGCACCTGATATTCCTGCTGGAATGTGTCCATTAGGGAAGATTGTTCATATTGTTAACAGTGTGAGTCATGGGCCATATTGTTTCCATTTATTTGTTCCCTAGGTTACCTACTAGTTGTTGGACGTGGTGCAAAATGTCTTACCTATGTATTTTCTCATTTAATCCTCTCAACAACTCAACAAAAGAGATGTTAGTAATCCAATTTACAGAAAAGAATACTGAGACGAGAGTAAGGATTACTTGCTCAAGGTTAGTTGAGATATACCACGTTGGAGCCGAAATTCAAACCCAAGTCAGTCTCAACAAGTCCATGCTCTCCGTTCCCCTAAAACTTTTTAAAAAACCAGTGCTATATTGCTGCCATGCTGCTGTGTTTCATTTGCAGTGAGAAAGGACATGTAATAGTCTCCTGTTTGTCTGGATCAGAAAACAAGCCTGTGTAAAAGATGTATATTGAGATTTATGGCACCAGTGATGTCCCCACTTCCTGACTTATAAATGTCTAGCATAAGTTTCCTTAAGGTTGTGAAATCTTGGCATAATTTTGTGGGGGTTCTTTTTGCAAATGTGAAGGAAGAGAATTCATAGTTTTATTTAAATCAAATTCTCAAAAACGTCCATGACCCACAAATTGTTAAGAACCATCACCCTGCTCAGTCCGTATCCCAGAGACCCTCAGCCGCTGGAATTCCCACCTGTCTGCTGGCGTCATTGAACTCCCCCTCACCACTAGACTTTCCCTGCACCTACCTCCAAGATCATTCCTTCTCAGTCCTGGAAGGGCAGCAGAATCACCTCTAGATCCTTTAAAAATACAGATACTCAGCCCCCTCCTAAGGCCTTTTGGAAGTGTGATCTTTGGGAATGCAGCTCAGAAATCTGTATGTCTGTGAAGCCCATGAATGGTTCTGACCTAGAGTACTGTAAATCAGCACAATTTTCTTTAAAAACTTCGAGCAAAAGAGAATACTTCATGTATGCCCTGATGTAGCATAATCTTCTGGAGGGAGACCTGGAGTAGACCCAGTTGTCCCAAGGGAAATCATCACCAGCCAGTTATTGGTTTTCTACAGTTTGAGGCCGGGAGAAAGACCCAGAGAGCTCCATTTGGCCCTTTACTCTCTTTGAAAGATTCTCTTGCATTGCCTGCTGCTTCTGAGACTGGTGTGTGTGTTTAGTGCTGCAAGTCTTTAGTCGTGATGTTGAACAAACAACATCTTAAAGATGTTTTGACATATCAATTCGACTTTTGAGTTATCTTCTTCCTGAGAGAATTAAAAAGAAAGTTCCAAGAGGTTTCTGGGAAGACTTTGTTCAAGTGAGCTTTTAAATAGCTGATTTTGTTTCACCTAGTTGATGTTGCTGCCATTTTATCTGCTTAATAGCAAACTGAGGTTTTTCTTCTTCAGTCATCCATGTCTGCTAGAAATGCTTGACATTTTTCACCCACACAGGTTCTGATGTCATCACTTTTACTCATTTTTCTCATCTAATTCACCTTGGAAATAGGATGAGCTGTTCATTCATAGGCATAAAGAGAGATGATCAGTGGAAATGGACTCGTGTTTTTCCATTACTTTTTGTAATCATGTCTTAGTTTCTATGATGATCTACCATTTTCTCTTTGTTCCAGAGAACTATCAAATTGTCACCTAACATTTATTGAGAATTACGATTTGTATTGGACAAGTTTAGAAGCTTGAATCCCAATAGTTTGTCAAAGAAAAGATATTAGGCCCTGTTCTATGGAATCATGGGATGTTTGAGAGCATCCAGTCCAGCCAGTAGAACGTGTCTCCAAGATACCTTTGTGCCTTCTCGGGGAATTGATGACTGCACAGCAGCCATTCTGTCTTTTGACAGCTCTAGCTGAAAGAAAGTTTGCCCTTCAGCTGTGCTAAATGCTCTCTCTCTGTACCTTCTAATTACGATTCTAGTTTTGTCCTCTGGACTTTTGTAGAATCTATCAAATCCTTCCCTGCATAAGAGCCTTCGAAAACTTAACCTTCAACCTTCAGAAACTTAAACAAATTTTAACCTTCAGAAACTTGATATCGTCCCAAAACTTCTCTTCTCAGGCTACAAAATATACTCCTCGTGGGTGTTATTTTCCAAAATAGATGTGCAAATCACAACCCAATATGTTAATGAGGCACTCAGCAAAGACCTGAATCATAATCACTTGTCAGAAGCCAGGTCCATTCATGTTTTCTTTGCCCCTCTTCAAGTGCTGGTTCATCGTAACTCTGTTCTATTCCTTGCCTCTTAGATAAATTTATCTTTACGTTTTATTTTATTTGATAAGAATACTGGTGAAAGACAGCAGAATCTTCTAAGAGAGTTATCTAAAATAACTAGAAATGAATACTTTTGAAAAATGCTTTAAGGACCAAAACCCCATCTTCAGTAAATAAATGCACGAAGGTATTCTGATAAGTATTTTTTGCGGTCTGTAACTATTAAAGTAGTTTAAAAATAATTACATCTTCAGAAAGAGTTTAAGTCATGAAATGACATCATGAAAATCTCTGACTTATCTGATTTCTACATTAAAATTTCTGTATTCACTTCACTATGTTCTTAAACAAGTAAAAGATTTTCTGAATCTAAAGCTTTTGTAGGCAGTCTCTCTTTGGATAGTAATTTAATATTACGTGTCTCACATTACTAGCTTTAAGTAACTGATTTCTGTGATTTTTTTTAAAGTTATGAATTTCTCTGAGTGGGCACAGAAATTATATTATCTTTTGTATCATGAAGATAGCCTTGTAGGTCAAGACTATAGGAAGAACAGAAGGAATTTTGGATACTGTCGTCCCTCAGTATCCTTGGGGGGATTGGTTCCAGGACCCCACTGTATACCAAAACCCATGGATGCTCAAGTCCTTTATATAAATGGTGTAGCATTTGCATCTAACCTATGCACATCCTCCGTTACACTTTAAATCATCGCTAGATTAATTATAATGCCTAATACAATGTAAGTGCTATGTAAATTCTTGTTATACTGTATTGTTCATGGAATAATGACAGAAAAAAAAAACCTCTGTACATGTTCAGTACAGAGGCAACCATCGTGGGCCTTTTGCTCTGGGGTTGGCTGAATCCCAGGACACGGAACACAAGGATGCAAAACCCCAGCTTACTGAACCTGAGGACGTGGAGGGCCAACTGTACCTGGAATTGCATGTAAATATTTTAGAAAAACTATTTAACAGGTTAAAGTAAAATTTTTGAATTGATTTTTTTAGAGCAAAGGGTGATATAATCCTGTGAGTCAGTAACTGTTAGGATAATCAACTCAGTCAAAAAAAAATTCCCTAGTCCTATCTTTTCTTCCCCCTAAATTGAAGGGATAATGGTGTAATGCTTTGGAAAACAGCTCTATCTCAATACAAGAAAAAACTGAAACAAACCTCTTTTAATTCTTCCTGCATAACATTAAACATAAAGAAAGGCAGTAGGGTAGAGGCCAGTCTGATGATATTTCTTATAATGTGTTTGAAATTCTTCGGATTTCTTAGACGTTAGATTCCCCTTCTGGAGAACCTGTGAAGAAACTGTAAGGTATATATCTCAAATAAATGCTCTCCATATGCAGTGGTGTGCTGGAGTAGGCTTGCAGGGGCTTATAAGACTTATTTTTAATTTTCAAGAATTTTGTGAGCCAACTGACCTCACATTTGTAGCTTCAAATTGGCCACAGTGGGACTATTTACACCATGGAAATTGGCAATTGCTATGCATCAGAGCTGATTGCTAAACATTTACCAGCACACATAGGTATTTATAAAAAGTTTCTAGCATACTTGTGTGAAAAAAACTATTTAAATAAAAAAAAATTGAAGGTATTTGTTAATATTGGAACTCTGACATTGTTTTATAGACTTATAAGGCTGGAAATATTTTCTGTTCTTTTCTTTACCTCTATTTCTTCAATTAGGATGTTAGTAGGAACATTCTGGATGTTATATGTAAGAGAACTTTAAAATTATATGTAATGGCTAATACATAATTAATATTTTCAAAAATAATTCTATAATGCATCTGTAGGGGAGGATAAATAATTTTCCCTTAACCCTTCTAGGTTCTTACCTGAGACTTTTCTCCTCTCATAATAAAAAACAGATTAACAGGAAAAAAACAAACAGAAGTTTAATAATATGTATACCTCCTATATACATGGGAGAGAACCAGGAAACTGAGTAACTCCCCAAAATGGCCCAAGCTACCACCTTAAATACCACCTCCAGCTAAAGACAAAAGGAAGATGTCAAGGGGGTGATGGGGGCTGGGGTGTAGGGGGAACCAGTTATGGGAGCTTACCAGGAAAAGCACAGTAAACAAGGGTAAGGTTGTTATACAGATTTAAATCCATGCCTTCTCCATTGATAGAGTTTCTAGAGATTTAGTCATCCTCCTCTTGCTGCTACAGAGGGGGAGACACCCTTACAAATGGAGATTTCCCTTACAAATGTAAATATCTCTTACAAAAGTGTAATTTCAATTCTCGATTTTTCAGGGCTTTTCCTATGTCTGCGCTTCCTTAAAAATAACCAGCTCAAAATAATCCTTATGCCAAAGAGGCATATTTTTGGTGGTATATTCTGCTCCTCTTCACATCTCTGCAGAATAATTCTGGAATGTTTTCTGTTTTAACTGCCCATTAAAAATCAGATGAGGACTTGCCCATGGCATAGTGGTTAAGTTGGGCATGCTCCGCTTCAGTGGCCCAGGTTCACAGGTTTGGATCCTGGGCGTGGACCTACACCACTTGTCATCCATGCTGTGGCATTAACCCACATAGAAAATAGAGGAAGACTGACACTGATGTTAGCTCGGGGCTAATCTTCCTCAAGCAAAAAAAGACGAAGTTGACAACAGATGTTAGCTCAGGGTGAATCTTCCTCAGAAAAAAAAAATCAGATGAAGTAAGATTTCAGTTTCAAGATTTCATGTTAATTTATTTATTTTAAAAATGACTGAAAGAATCAGCAAGGGGCAATAATATAATCTTCTATACTCTGTAATTTCTTTTGCAATCTTTTTTATTCTTTTACCTTTCCTTGGTTTCTTTTCCTCCTTTACTTCTTTGTTTTCTCCTCATCTCTTTTGTAGAAGAGGAATCTATATTTATAACCATACCCACCCTCTTCCATTGTTTATTGGCCCCTGGAGATTTACATTTCTTTTAGGAATATGCTCAGCATTTTACGCTGCTAAGATGTGCTGAAACATGAGCCAATTAATGACGTTCTTACTGACAAGTTCTAGGAAACTTGTAGAGTTCAGTTTCTGCAAGAATGATTTCCAGGCTATAATATTTTAGAATGTCAAACAAGTGGAAACAATTAGTAACACTAATGTCTTAACCCCAGGTTTACCACTGAGGGAGGCAGATCATTGATTAAAAGGCCCATCTGTTCCATAGATGTTTCCAGTTTGCTTGCATAGCTGTTCAGTGATTGTGCTGCTTGCATAGCTAGTTATTCTGTTACTCAAAATCATTGGTTATGGACACATTTTACCATGGCATCTTTGAGAAATCAGGTTTTATTTGTGGATACTATAGTTATTTGGCAATGTGTTTAGTATATTACATGTTCTTGGAACATGTATTTTGAAATTGTCACAAACTCTAAGAATTGTATAATCAATGAGTTAAATATATAGCTTTCAAATGAGTTAGTGTACTTGTAATTTGGCAATCGTGTGATGTCGGAGGAAGAATAGATTCATCTCAGAGTCTTTTGTCTCTATTTATAAGATGAAAGATGGAAGAGTTCTGTTATTATAATCAAGTTCTTCCTTAAAATACCCTTAATCTGCTTATTCATTCTAAATAATGATGATACACCTCTTATGTAGAATCTCGCCATTTACAATCACTTTCACATTTGTCATCTCATTTTGCGTTAGGTATTTTCCCCTGCTGTTTTCTTTCCATATGGAGATCATGGAATAATTGCCTCTAAGATTTGAAAGGAGCCTTACAAATTATCTGATCAATTACTGTATCCAGTGGTCATCCTGTCAGCTATTTCCAACAGGAGAAAATATTAGAGAGGCAGCTAGGCTGACCATTGGGTCAAATAAGGCAGTGAAAGTAAATTTGCTTTTTGTGGGATAGGCAGAAAATATTATTTTTTACTTTTGCGCTCTTTTTTGATGATTTTTTTCAGGCTCAGCCTACTGGGCCTGTGGACTTCTGCTTTAGGGGCTCTCCGGTGACTTTAAACCGTTAATTCCCACCCTTTGGGAGTGTCGCTAGTCTGCTGTCAGCTTCAAACTTCACCCGAGTGCCGAGCCTAAAGGGCGTGGGTTTCTGGAGTGCAAAATATTCATGTTTTATTTTTGAAGCAATAGAAATTTCTTTAAGTTTCCTTCTCTCTTTCTGCTCCCCTCCCTCCCTCTTCCTCCCTTCCTCCTTCCTTCCTTCCTTCCTTCCACCTTTCCTCCCTTCCTTCCTATCTCTTTCTCTTTAAACTGATTTAGTTATTTCAAATCACATTAATACACCTTGGGGCTAAATTAAGAGTTACAAGTATGAAACTTAAAATCATTTGTCTGCTCCAGTTTGGAATTTATTTAATTATTTCTGACTTCAGTAAAACTTTGGATCTTATTTTAAAAAAACTTATTATCTATTTTTATCTTGTTCTGATGAGAATACAAACCCATTCAGATACATTAATTGTTCTGTAATACAGATGAAAAAGATGGAAACTCGGCCCCGCCAGGCTGGATTTGGTTTGAGAGGTGATTATCTTTTAATGATGGCTTGATTGATGATTGTGTGCCATGTGACGTAACTGGAAAACTGATAGATAGACGTAATTGTGGAAAAATTGATGCAACAGGGAAACTGTACTTCCTGAGCCCATGCAATGCAACCTGTGCAAATATGATGATTCTTCAGTTAAGATTGGGAACTCTGGGTAAGCACGGTGTAAAAAGGAAAACGAATTAGATAGTGAGTGAGGAAGACAAGATGAATGTAAAAACAACCATCCCCAGGTGTATTGAGAATAGTTCTAGCTGCCTTTTCTTTCCGTTGCTAGGAGAGGGATGAGCTAATGCAGGGGTACATGTGCGTTACCAACTGTATCCGCAAGCAGTGACGCACCTGTTAAGCCTGGCATTGGTGCTGTGTAGACACTGTAAACAGGAATGCATACGTCATCCGTTCAACAGCCAATTGTAAACTCCGTCTTTAAATCCACTGAAAAGAAAATTAAGTGATGATGAAAAGCTGTCACTCCTTCATTATGTAAATTGAAGGAAATTGACAGAGAAAGGCTTATTCAAAGTCCAAAGTCTTCAATTTTATCTCTATTTCTGGATCAAAGACAGTGAAGGCAAAGTCTCTTCAGAACCCTTTGTTTAGCCTTTACAACAAAAATAGCCTTAGAGACTTGCTTGCCTAGAGAGATTCTGTGGTTTTCTCGTGACCATGGAGATTAATCTTCTTCCTGGGAAATCAGCTGTTCACAACACTGCTGCCTTCATTCCCAAAGAAGACTTTCTATTCCTGCCTGGGAATGTCGGATACAGCAACAAGTGTTGAGGCGCCTAAATATTCCCCACGGGGTATGGGCTCCTGAACACTGCCTCAAGTCCCTTTCAGCTATTCATTTATTCCCTTCACTCTTCCAGAAAGGTTTTCAGGCGGCTACGGCTGCACCTGCATCTCAAGGGCATGTTCTCCTGTCAGTCATGCTGTTAGGAGGAGGGGATTTAAAAGCAAGGCCATTCATTTATTCATTTACTCATGAACTTATTTAATTGATATTTATTGCGCTCTCTCGGTGTTTCAGACTCTCTGCTGGGCATGGGTGACACACCAGTGAGCTAACATGGATCCCATCCCATTACTAATAGACCATCCAATCTGGGGGTGGGGGATGCAACAAATAATCACACTGATTAATATATATTTTCAAATTCCTTATAAATATGAGGAAACCATAGTTATCCAGGATCGGATGGACGTGAGGGCGGAATGTGTGTCTGAGAACTAGAGAGCGTCATAGACAAGAGCCCTGTGGCTGAAGGAAGTGTGGCTGAAAGACGAGGAGGGAAGGATGGTGCCTTAGGAGGCTCAAGAGATGGATCAGCCCAGACCACCTTGGAGTTAAAGAATTTTGATCTTTATGGTGAAAGCAAATGGGAAGTTAGTTAGCTGAAGAGTTTTTAGGTAGAGGAGACCCATTGAGGACTGTGTTTTGAAAAGATAACTGGCTTTGGGAGGGAAAATGGCTGGAGAGGGGCCAGAAAGGTGGTGGGAATATTCCAGTCGTGTATGTATCCAACATTCCTTCATCCTTGCCTCACCCTGAACGCTGTTCATGTGCATGCCTGTGTCCTCCGCCAGACCTTACATTCCATGAGTTTAGGAACGCTGTTTTATTTGCTTTAGGGTCCCCTGTAGTGTCTGATACTGGGATTTGCGTATATACGTCTAACAAATGCTATATTTAAACTGTGGCTCTTCTCCATCTCAGAAGACATGTCAGTAGGCTTAAGACAGTCCTTCTGTATTCTGGTGATAGCATTATCTAGTGATCTAATTTATTCCTGGAGACAAGCAAGATAAAAATATACTTGCCTTTTCTTTTGCTAAGTCATACGTGCCTTGCATTTTATTTCCATACATTAATATCTTCTATAAAATGACCTTTATAGTCCTATCTTCATGTCAAGACTAAAGCATTGCTATTGTCCTTGTTATTACTGTCTCATCACAAATAGAATAAATATGCTGAGGGAGATTTGTTGCTGAGAGAAATTTCCTACAGAGCTGAAGAAGTGAAACCATATTGGAAATTTTCAGACTCTGAAAATCAGGAGTTGCAAATATAAATAAGTAAAGCATTGAAAGGGAGTTGTGCTGCCTGTGGCAGAACTGGGAACGCATGCCGTGTCCCAAAGCATTCAAATTCAAATACAAAATGTCCCATGACAGCCAAACAAAACATCAGGGGGCCAAGTGACTATGTTTGCTATTTCTCTTTTAAATAATTAAAGAATTTTTTTTTTTTTTAATCCGGAGAAGTAATAGAAAATTGCAGTGTACTCATCTCCTCTTATGGGTTGTGGACCAAGTTTTGAGGGACTGAAGCTTCAAAGCTGTGCCGGGGTAAGGGAGCAGGACCAGAATGCCTTCATCAGTGCATTCTTCCCAAATAACTTTGCAAAGCAGGCTTCTAATATTCCTCTGGCTACTTGGTCTTTATTTTCTGTTGTAATGGACCGCTACAGTTTCTCTGTGTCTCAGTCACATTAATACATCCAGTAAGGGGAAGACATAAAGCTCATGAGCTTGATAGAAAGGAAGAAGGTTGTTATGACTTTTGAAATCAGAAGCAAAGAAAACATCGCTTCTCATATACCTTCTGGGCAAGTCCCTCGGGGGTAGTTTTATTAAAGACTTTCCTTTAAAATAAAAATGAGGGGAATATAAATAGCACTGATCCAGCTCCCACCTGCTCCTTAGATTAAGATTAGCTTAAACTCAGGCTGAGAGGTCACACAAGGGCATGGCTTTCTGTGGTTAGCAGTCGCTTAAATCACACACTCACGAATCTCATGCAAAGAATATTTAGATAACATATTTCCAGCAGAAAAATAATTCCAACTTCTTTTCTTTTCTCAGGGGTGAGCAGTCCTAGTGATTCTGTAAATGAGAGAATCCTTTCCACTGTCAAAATTGGGCCGGTGGGATGAATGAAGCAGAAAGGAGCAGAACACCAGGATTAATTAAGATCATTTTGCTGCCGTGCTCTGCGATTTTGTTACTCCTCCTAAAATGCACCGGAGAGCACCAGAAATGGGAAGCAGTGACTTATGTTTGAATTCTGAGCCCTTCAGCAAAATGTATCCTCTTTGGGCTGCCTGTGTACAATAAGGATAATAAAAATATCCTTCTTCCACATTTTAGTGGGCTGTTGTAAACAGAAAATTAGATTCCATGTGGTAAAGCGCCTCACAATGACAAGATAATGTGATGTAATAGTAATGATATTATAATAACTATAGCAAACACATACCGCTTATTTGCCAGACACTGTTCTAAGCATTTACACTCATTGTTTCACTTAGTTCTTATAACAACCTTATGAGGTGGAATCTGTTAGCTCGTTTATAGATGGGGAGACAGAGCCGCAGAGGACTGAAGTAACTTGTTCAAGGCCAGCCAGTGAGAGGTGGTGCTGGGATTTCAACCCAGCAGTCTGGCTCCAGAAGATAATGCTTTAATCACTATAGTTAAAAAAAGAAAGAAAGAAAAGCACAAACTTTTAACTAAATGGGAAGACCAGCTTTTGAATCCTGGCTTCATGGGCTGTGTCACTGTGTGGTTAGGCCTCTTAAGCTGTCTGATCTTCAGTTTGTGCATCTTAAAATAGAGATAGGATAGTAATAGCTACTTCCGGATGTTTCATGAAAACTAAATAAGAAAACATGCAACGTTCAGCTTTTAATCAATAGGAGGCACGCCTTGCATTAGTATTATCAGTTATTGGGGTGGGGTGGTATGTTTGTCTGCTTGGGCTGCCATAACAAAACACCACAGACTGGGGGGCTTAAACAATGGAAATTTATTTTCTCACAGTTCTGGAAGCTGGAAGTCCAAGATCAATGTCCCAGCAGGGTTGGTTTCTGATGAAGCCTCTCTTCCTGACTTGCAAGTGGTTGCCGTCTTACTGTGTCCTCACATGGCCTTTTCTCCATGCACAGGGAGAGAGAGATCACTGGTGTCTCTTCCTATTCTAAGGACCACAGTTCTGTTGGATCAGGGCCCCACCTTTATGACCTCATTTAACCTTAATTACCTCCTTAAAGGTCATATCTCCAGATACAGTCACATTGGAGGTTTGGGCTTCAAAATGAATTTTTCAGGGACACAGTTCAGTCCATAACAAGTAGGTAGCTGGAGGGGAGAGAATTAGAAGGATAGAAGGGGTGTTTGGAATATTTTGATATTTAAGGTAGATTTCTTAGACATCAATTCTGGAAGGAAGAGAAGTTGTCAGCTATGGGTAATAAATGATCAGATAAACAATATATTCACTACTGTATGTCATTTGCCTTCTATTTGACACCCTAGAAAACGTCTCCATACTCTCTGTTTTTGGCTTTTAGGTGAGCCTGAATTTAAATACATTGGGAATATGCATGGTAATGAGGCTGTTGGACGGGAACTGCTCATTTTCCTGGCCCAGTACCTGTGCAATGAGTACCAAAAGGGGAATGAGACAATCGTCAAGCTGATCCACAACACCCGGATCCACATAATGCCTTCCCTCAACCCCGATGGCTTTGAGAAGGCAGCGTCTCAGGTGAGTGTGAGCCAGCGTAGAGCAGGGCACGCTTTCTTCATTTTGTATGTTTGTACATACACGCCTATCTACAAGCAATGCTCACGTGAAGCTTACACATGGTGCAGGGGAGGGTATAGGTGATATGTTATTCAACTTGCTTGTAAGAAAAATGTTCCGAAGGTGAGGGATGATGAGTGAACATTCCTTCAGCAGAGATTACAAATGAGAAATTTTGTTAATAAGTGAATATTTAATTAATGCTTTGTTTTTGTTGTTACATAAATCATATTTATTTATCCATGTTTGTGACTAGGTAAATTTCCTTCTAAAAAACCTTCAAGTATGAAAAAGATCTACTGCCATGTATTGAAGGGTAATGCCATTGCTGCATCTGAATGAGGCGATGTCATAGCGCCCTCTACTGAGTCAAGGAAGAAAAAATTTTGACCAGATCAATTTGATGTTTAGTGCTTGTCTCTGTATGATGAGCAAAATTTTCAATAACCCCTCCTACTTCTAAACTAAAATTAATGTAATACATTTTAACAGTTAGAGAAGCTGGAAAGTAACGTTATTTTAAGAGAAGACATATGGTATGTATTCTCTTTTTCTTTGGACAGGAGTGGAGGACGTTATATTTGTTGTTTTCTACAGTTTGAAATAATTTTCTCATTTTATGGTAATATATTAAAGTATATATTTACCCTTAAGAAGTCGATTTGTACCTTAAAAAGAAAATATTCAATTACCTGATAGTTTGATGTTGTAAGAAACCCAGACAGTGAATTTCTGTAAATAAGTGTAACATAGATATAACTTCTAAAGTTATGACGGAAAAATTCTAGTAACATAAAGCATTAAATTATTTAATATTTTACAGTAATTTTTAGAACTGTGAGAGAAAATGGGCAAAAAGATTGTCATTGCTATTTTCTGTCTTACGTGTTTTTATTCTTCACCGTCTAATGTATCTGAGCCGACATGGCCTCAAGAATATGGGAACTGTCTCTATATCATAGATTTGATATAACTTAATAGTAAAACAAGAAATCCTGCATTATGGCATATAATTGAATATCTTGGAAATTCATTAAATTTACAGGTTATACCATTATTGAAATGAAAGGTTTAAAATTGAACAGAAATTCCTCAACTTACAGACCTCTAGAACTTTGCTTCATGAAGACTTTGAGGGAGGTATATTATTAATATATAAATAATTAATGTTAAACTCATGTTAAGCTTCTGATCTTATTGAGTATTCTTTTGAATATTTCCAAAATTAGATTGCTGTGATGTACAGAGGCAATGAATATTTTATTTAAATCTAAGTATGGAGTGGCATGCTTTGAAACACGTCATCTATTACTAGCTAATACATATTGAGTTCTTTTGCAATTTGATAAATATCTTTTAAATGTTATTATGATTAACATTTAAAATAATATTCATTGAAAATTACCCATGCCAAATACTTAAACTTAATTCCTTTGTGTTTGTAACCATAAAATAGTGAACGTGCCTTTATGGTAAGATGTTATTGAAATAAATAATTATTCTTAATACATTATTTTTAAAATCATTAATGGAGACCTTAAATAGATAGCAACAATAATAATAAATAACTGATGATTTTTCTCTTTGATTTTTTTAGCCCGGTGAGCTCAAGGACTGGTTTGTGGGTCGGAGCAATGCCCAGGGAATAGATCTGAACCGAAACTTTCCTGACCTGGATAGGATAGTTTATGCTAATGAGAAAGAAGGAGGGCCAAATAACCATCTGTTGAAAAATCTGAAGAAAATTGTGGATCAAAACACAAAGGTAGAGAACATGGATGGTTTTCTTGGGTTCTGTCCTCTAACCTAAGGAAATATGTTTATCATAATGAAGGACATAGGAGTAATGTCAAAGCTTGTAGGGGATAGTTAACTATAGCTGTGAAAGTCACAGCTGGAAAGGCTGGAGGCTTGAAATTAGTCCTGTCCCTAAAATTGAGCAGGGGCATTAGGAGTGGGAGGTGGGGGTGTGGACACGAGGAAGGAACCCGGTTGTGGGTGTCTTAGAAAGTCTTCATGGCCCTTTCAGAGGCCCTTTATCAGCATATGTGATCAGGTCCTCCTACAGCATCTCACAGTTGATCCTTTTCTTCTTTTCTGGAACTTTCTCCTCTTTGTTTTGCACAACTCTGTTTTCTCCTACCTCTTCTACTGCCTTTCCTATCTCTACTCGGTTTCTTTCCCTGCTTCTTCTACCTTGGCTCAGATGCTGGCCTTCAGGGTCCCATCTGCTACCATTCTCTCTTTCCCTAGGTTTCCATCCTTTCCCATACCTTCAATGTCCCCTGTTCTACAAAGTCTCCCAGATCCCTGTCTCTAACTCTAGATCTCGCATGGAGTTCTGTTACTCTATTTTACTTGCTCGCTCAGCCCCTTTATCTAGTGACACCCAGGACCTCAAGCTCAGCGTGATAAAAACGAAATATTTTCCCTAAGACAACACTATTCTCTCACTTACCTGATCATCAAAGCCTTGTTTTTTTCCATCTCTGTCACCACTCACCAGCAATCAGTTACCAAATCTTGGTGATTTGGCCTCTTTACCACCTGTTCAGTTTTTCTCTCCTCCGCAGACTCACTCCATGCTTTAGTTCACGCCCCCATCATCTCCTGCTCTGGTGAGCACAGTAGCCCCCTATTCTTGTTTTGGCTTCAGCCTCTCCCAATTCCATTCAATCTTCCTGAATTCCTCCAGAGTGATCTTCATACACAAATTATTGCTCTGTTGCTTAAAAAATCTTGCTAGCTCTCCCCTGCCCAGAGGATGAAGTAAAACTCAATATGGCAGAATTGTGTGATGGTTTCGCCTGGAGACTCTGGAGGCAGCCACCTTGGTTCAAATCCTGGGTCCATACTTGCTGTGTGATTTTTGGGAAGTTATTTAACCGCTAGGTGCTTCCACTTCATCCAAATATGGAGATGATAATAGTATCTACCTCATAGACAGTTGTAATGATTGAATGAGTTAGCACACGTAAAGTACTTGAGATCGGGGCCTAGAACTATTATTACCGTGTCAGTGTAATTTCTCAATACTCTCTGCTATGTATCTTAGGGTTTTTCTTTATATAGACTTCTAGTGTGGTGGTTATAGTTACATAGAGCTTCATATATGTTATATTATAATTTTTTGTTTATATAGCTGTTTTTCCCTTTGATTCTAGATTTCAATCCCTTGATTACAGGAATTATAATTCATATTTGGGTCTGACACATAGTAGGCTGAAAGCCTATTATGAACGAATGCAATCCAGCCTGGCAGGCAAATCACAAGATCTGAAAATCAACAGCTGGAGTTCCAGACAAGCATTCCTCATGTGGTTGGGATGCTGGGAAGAGGATCCAGGAGATAGAGAGTCCCAAGTTTTTGGTCTAAAGTTCTTAAAACTACCCTGCCTCTATTCAGGATTCATTCCAGAAACCTGGGCTGAGCCTACAAGTGGGGACTGGTCTGAGAAGCGCTGCCAGGGGCTGAGGATTCTGGCAGAACCTGATAAGCGAGTAACTTAAACATCCCTGCTTCTGAGTCACAGAGACATTTGCAATTTCTCAACCCCTAAACCATCTTTCTTGGGAGAAGAGAGAGCTGGAAAGGCAGAGGCTTGGGGTAACCAGAGGTGAAAAGAGGACAGTCAAATCTTGGGTGATAAGCTATGAGGAAATGTCAGCTATGACAGAAATGAAAAACCGTCCTGGAAGCCCACTGTTGATATTAGCCCACAAACTTTCCCCATTGCTTACATTAACCTGCCTAGGCTGTCTTCATTAAATCTGAGAAATGAGAAGAATAATTCGTATAACCCTTCATAGAAGAATCGTGAAAGAAACTCATGTTGACAGAATATTTGATTGGCAGCCTTTATGCAAGTGACATTATTTTCAGCCAGGAATATCTTCATCTTTCTCAGCTGAACCTGTATAATATTTGCAGAGTCTCTATATTAGATGTTTTTACATTTCTAGCTTAAGTCATACTTAAAAGATGCAGGTTCATGGTACTTTTAAAAAAATTGGAACTTTTATTAAAATTATCTGAATGCCAATACTTTTTCTGGCTAAAGGTAAATTAAAGAGACACACAAAAATTAAAGTTTAGTCTCTTTTCTGGAAGAGAAGCAGGATTTTTTTGCATTACAATAAATCTTCAGTGAACCCCTTTAATAATCATGGGGTGTTATTACCCAGGTCTGGCTCATGTCCTTCTTTCATCTTTGTCGTTAAGACTGAGTCAACGTGTAGACCCAGCCTGGTATGAGACATACAGGAGGCATTTCATTAATGTTATTACACA